GAGAGTTGATGCCTTTGAGCTGTGGTGCTGGAGAAGGGTACTGAATGTACCATGGACTGCCAGGAAAACAAACAGATTCATCTTGGAGAGGATTAAACTAAGCTACTCCTTGGAGGAAAGGATTCTGGGGCTTCGTCTGACATACTTTGGACATGTTGGCAGGAGGGACGGGTCCTTGGAGAGGGACATCATGCTTGGGAGGGTGGAGGGACAGCGCAGGAGGGGAAGACCCTCTATGAGATGGATTGATTCAGTGACTGGGGTAACCGGGATGGGTGTGTCAGAGGCGGTGCGGTTGGCGCAGGATAGAGCAGGGTTTAGGCCTGTTGTGCATAGGTTCGCTATGAGTTGGAAACGACTCGACGGCACATAGCAACAACAACAACAACAACAACAACAACAACAACATACAATAATCCTTTCAGAATATTTGAATTCTTTAAAAATGGGTATAAAAAATGTTTTCTCGTTAAACAGACTGTGGGACATTCAGAACAAGTTAATGAGATGCTACTAGTCCCTCGTGTATGAGCATGAGCTCTGAAGTAACAAAGTTTCAGCTCCTTCACCTATGAGCTATGTGACTTAAACCTTAGAAACCTAGATATGTCTGTCAGTCAAATGGGGTTAATAATGGTACCTGCTGCCCAGCGTGTTACAAATACTAAATGAGACCCTGGGTTGAACACTGTGGTCTAGACTCTGACTTATTTTGATCTTGAAATGAAAAGCAACCCCAGGGTCCTTGGAGGTGTGAAGGATTAAGCTAAGTACTAGCAGCAGAATACTAGGAATTAGAAGGCCCAGAGATGCCTCCAGAAGTAAGTTCTAGCAATTTGTTTCCGAGGGTCACAGGTGGGAGATCCTAGGGAGCAGTTTGATTCTGCACACACAGAGCAGCCCTGAGTCAGAAACAGTTCAACGATTATTCAAAATGGGTGATCCTGGAGGACATTATGCTGAGTGAAGTATCTCAGTCACAAAAGGACAAATACTGCATGGTGCCACTGTTGTAAAACAGGACTTAACTCATTGTACCAATGAGGGAGTTTTTCTTTTGCTTTTCAAGGAGAGGAGCAAATGGGGCGGAGGGGGGAGGGGTTTGTGTGGGGAGAAGGGTGCAACAATGAATGAATGGAATCCCAAAATCTCTGTAGATGTTCATTGAAATGAAAAATAAAC